GACAAGCTGTATATCCATTTGTCTAGAATGATCAATGGGAACTGTTTTCTGGATGACTTCTAGAGCCTTCTTATTTTGAGTTCTAAAGCCTTTGGGTTCAGTGAATCCTAAGAAATTCCCTGCTTAAAAAAAAAAAAGAATCCATGAAGTAACCAGACTTTTACATTAAAAACTTAATAATATCTTATAGTATACAGTATTGTATGTTATTGAGAATGTTTTCCCATATATTATCAAACTGGAAAAAGAGATACAAGAATGACATTAAGTGAGTCACCCAAGGTAACATCAAGGTAACATTGATAGCAGAGCAGGAATTAGAATTTATGCTCACAAATCTTAATTTTTTGATTTATCTCCAGAAACACACCACCTCTAAAATGTGAAATGTTTTGTGGAGCGTAAAATTTTTAAAATTTAAATTTAAACCTGTAGAAAGTTAAGATTTTTTTTTAATCCTGCTATGCAGTCAAAAATTCCCTACAGCAAAATATCTCTTCCTTCCGCATTCTCCTTGCTCCTGGCCTACCTAGTTAACCGGGTATTTTCCATCATTATGCTGTATGTAAGCATAATTCACTCTGCCAGACTTTCTGAAGATAAAACTTAACTGAAATGTAGATTTCCTTAAAGACATTCAGTTTCTAATCCACCCTCATATAACCTGTAACCCAATTTTTATCTCTTCCTTAAATAAAATAAGGTCCTTCATCTCTGAGCTCTCAAATCAGTAAGAAGACTTTTGAGTGTAGCTATCAGTCAAAAATAATTTGAATTAATTAACCTGTCATTATATAACCAAGGACCATGAACTTAGCCATTAACTCACTACATCCTCTCTTTTTATACCATCTTCTCCCTCCAAAAACCACACACACACACACACACACACACACACACACACACACACACACACCCCAGCCTTTCTCCAGTTCTAGGTAAATAAGGAGTTAAAAGCATGTAACACTCTCAGCATGTGTCAGCTGGGATGCTCTCAAAACAAATACTCTACCAGTGAGGAATCTTTCAAACCACATATTTACTTCAAATGAAAACAGAAATAAAAGAGCAAGGGGGAGGGGAAGAAGGACGATTGACTTGAGAGAAGTGGGGATCAGAACAGCGCAAATAAGCATGAATGCTTTGCTGATGAAAGTTGCTAGGTACTGTATTTAAAACCAGAACGTGGCCTTGATGCAAAGTTTCCTACTGCCAGAGCCTCTGACCCCTCATCATTTGGGTTGTTATTGTTTTTGAGGTGAATGAATCATACTGCTCATAGCATAATACACAATGAGCAGGAAACATTGCTCAAGCTGTTCTCATTTCTTCTTATTTCTGTGTTTAATGTAAGGCTTCCTCTGAGTTATTACATCACGCTGTTATACTTAATATTACCACTTTACACCTCATATAGATATGTATCTTAACAGTTCAAGTAGCAACCACCATGCAGAAATAAGGGCAATCTATCGATATGGTAAAAACTTACATAAACATTCAGAGTGGTAATTGTTTTGAAGCCTTTATGTAAATATTAGCATTAAGGAACTGTTTTGATTCAGAGACTCAAAAAAATAATTTTAGGGGTGTGTGTGTGTGTGTGTGTGTGTGTGTGTGTGTGTGTGTGTGTATTTATATGTACTCGACAACTATTCAGCCAAAGAAAAATCAGCATAAATCTCTAAATAACAAAGAAAGGTGATTTCATAAAGTAATGTCTTAAGATTTCTTATGTGAGTGATGCAATTAATAAACCTTCTTAGCCAAAAGACCACCTTAATGGTTCCATTAGTTGCTAAGAAAGAATTTGTTCCAGTTTACTGAGTGTATTTCACAAAATTTGATATTCAAATGATTAATTTAATATACAAAAATCTAGAAAATGGAGAACTTCTCCCACTCATAGTCACTTTTTTATAGGTGGCAAGATGGAGTTCTATACAACTAGATGAGGAGAAAACATTGCAGGACAATTAATCCGAAAGATTTGGAAAAGAACAAGGTTCCTGCATCACAGAAATTAACAACTTCTCTGCCCTCTAGTGGCTACAAAACCAACTACAACAGTAAGTATTTTTTAAAATGTCTCTGTAAGAAATCAGGTACTCTTTCCCCACCTCCCCTTGTCAAATAAAATTTTTTTCTAAGGTAGCTAATTGCTCTTCATAAAATGTCAAAGGTATTGGACAAATAGCTGTAGTTTCCCAAACTAAACTTTGAAACAGATGAATTTCTAATTTTGGCCTAAACTTTTTTTTAAAAGCCTAGTTTCCCCCCCTCTTTTTTTCTTGGGGGGGGCAGGGGTCCAATGTGAATTTTCCTAAGTAAAATATCTGTTTCCCTTCATTTGAAACACCATTAAATATATTGTATTATTATATTATTATTTAGGTCCCTATTGAAAATTGTCAAATATGTGATAAATGTGTGTTATTTAACAAATTACTCCAAAGATTTCCTTTAATAACAGAAGAGCTGCCCAGGGAAGAAAAAAGAAGACTTGGTGTTCAAAAGAGCTTTTAGGGAGTTCTTACACCTTCACTTCAAGAAACAAGCACAGCAAATCAAGCTTCATTTTTAAATGCACTCTCCCTTGAGTCTATATCCTTGCAAGTTGCTGAAGCTCTCACTCTCCCCGCCCCCAATTAAACTTTGTACGTCTTCTTCTTGGCAGCTAATTCTACTACTCTCTATTTTCTCAAATGGAACATTCTTCTAATTCATTCTCTGACCAGTCAGAATGGAATGAATCGCACCCTCAGTTTGGGAACTTAGACTAAATATTTTTAAATTGCACCATACATATGATTTTCAGAAGTAAAATATTTGTGAAAATAAGAATTATCAGCAAGAAAAGAAAAAGCTAAATATCTGCTGTCCTATCTTCTATTTTGACTTTTTATTTACTAACCTCCAAGTGTTTTTATTCATCTCAGGCTAACGAAATTCTTTAAAGTTAAGCAACTCCGGAAATAATTCCTTGATCTGTCCAGTTTGAATTTTACCTCAAGTGCTTGAGAATTGGCTAAATTATTTCCTGAAGTATTTAATACACATACAGCCCATAGCTTGTTGCACTGCTTTAATCAAAATAAAAATCATTTTAGAAGTTTGAGCCGGAGTCTTAGAAACAATCCCATCCCACCTCCTTGTTTTTATTAATGAGAACACTGAAGCCACAGAAGTGACACACAGTGACAAAGACAAAAGTCAAACCAGTGCCCAAGGTCACATCCAATGGCGGAGACAATAGCAAAATCAGTTCCCTCAACTCCAAGTCCAGTATTCTTTCCATTATTCTAGTCTTCTTTCACTACACTATGAGTGGATACCACACTTATTGAAATGATGAATTTCTTACCAGGGAATTACGAATCAGCAACAAGCAGTGTCAGAAATCTGTACGCTCCAGCCATTTCACCCATAAGTCAAAAAACAACCACCCTTGTGTTTGGAGAGTTCAAATCTACAATATACTGAGCTTTCTACTCCATAGAACAAAGGTCCACCTTAAAGTGTCAATCAATGAACATTTATTAAGTGCCTTCTAAGAGAGAGGCATTGTACACAGAAATGTCCTTTAACCTGTTGATTCTTAGCAAAGTAATAAAGTCAAGAGAGTTTAGAGGGGTCCCAGGCCAACACCTGCACATCCCTTTTAAAACTAAAGTGACAGAAATAGGCACACTTCTGCTATGGAGGTGTATGTGACTGACAAAGCTTTCACAGAAATTTTTCAAGGTCTACTTTTCATCGACCATGGAAACATTACAAGACCCTCTACTGGGCAGCCACAGCTCTACCTTGCCTCACCAAACAAAATCGCTTTAATTTCTCATGGTTTGGTACGACATGATAAATAACTGAGAGTTCTGAACATGCACCAACTTTCCCCCTGTGATTCCAACAAACAATATGGTGATGGCATGCTGGTGAGGAAATCTATTGTTGCTTTGCTCTGGTGCATTTCTAAGATGATCTTGGCTTAGGAAACAAGGCCAAGTCCTTTAACTAAGAGATTCCCTTCTCCCCTGTGTAACCTTGGGGCAACATTTTCCAAAATCTGGTTAGGTGCCTGTGTTCCTAGGCAACTGGTCATTGACTCAGGAGGTAGATTCCGGTCTATGCTAAAACATCACAGGTGCCTGGAGAAGCCTGGAACAGCTAGCAGTGTCATGAAGGAGCCAAGTCAGACTGGTCCAGTCTGGACCGGTGGCTCAGCTAGTGGAGCCCACACCACCAGTTCTGCCTTAGCTGACAGGATATGACCCTCCGTCTGAAAGCTCTGCAGGCAAGAAAAGCAACATCAGGAGGAGGAAGGTGGCCAAACACCCAGGGAATAGAGGTAGGGATGGCAGGTGGAGTCAGTCAGTCACGGAGCCAACCTGGAGGCACAGGAGAAAACCTCCACAAGTCCAGGCTCGCACCTAAATTAGTCAGGGCTGGACAATAGATTTAGGTTTGCCTCTACAGACACAATCACCCTCTTGCTCTTCCCAGCCCAGAGTCTCATCCTGAGGAGGGTGTGACAGTCCATGGAAGAGACAGAGAGCATGAAGTGTCTGACACGACAAGACCAGTGGGACCTGTTTTCTTTTTAACAATCTCCTCCCTTCCCACCCCAGCTCAAAGTCTGTCAGGTGGCAGTAAGACCAAGTAGGCGTCAATGGTAGGTAGTACACTTTAGGGACAAAGCCAATCCTGGTTTATCCGGGAGAGAAGGGGGCTTAGCCCCCCGGCCAATTTGCCCTGAGTTAAACTCACTCCTGTGAGTTGCTGCCCCCTGCCACCAAGGTGGGGATCTCAGAAATATTTCCGAACAGTCAACCCCTGTCCCCCACAAACCTACCCTTCCCCAACTATTACACCTTTCTGTCTGGAGCTAAAATTTGCCCCCAGAAGCCTAAGCCTTAACTTTCCCACAGGGGGAAAAAAAGAGGAAAAGAAAAAAGGTCCGCATCCCACACGCACAATGGAGAAATAAAAACGTAGCTTACCATTGGTTTGATTTACGGTCTCCCCTTCCGCATACCGAAACCGGTCCATTAAAAAGTGGCAAAGTAACACAACTCCAGCGGTGGCCAGCTCGGCTTTCCTTAACCTCGCCATAACGCGGACACCTCCCCCTTCGCCCTCCCCCCGAATTTATTCTTCCAGAGCTTCTTTTGGGCTGCAGGACTGACTGAGGGAGGAGGGGTGGGAAGAATGGGGCAAGGAGAGGAGTGCTGCAGACCACAATCACAGAGGGATTAAGTCGCCTTTTTATTTGGATCTGATTTCATGTACGGGGGAGAGATGAGGAAGACTGGGGGAGGAGGAGAAATGGGAGGAGATGGGGAGGGGGCAGCGCAATGCTCCCAGTATCACTCCGGAGCTCTTCTTAGGCTGCTGGGCCAAGCAGATTTCAGTTCAAAGCCAAGGAAAAACTGGAAAGAATCAATTCAGTTGCAGCTCGGGCTGCAAAGTGCGTTGCAAAGTCTTGGGCTCCTGATCAAATCTCGATGGGCTCAGGGGGTCCTCCTAGCTGTTAGGTAGAGTCCCCTCCGAGGCTTGCGGATTGTGACTGCCCTGCGCGCTGGATTCCTCCACTAGATGTATTCAAAACAATTCCGACTTCCGAGGGAGCAAAGCCACTACGCCTTCTCCAAACCGGCGGCAACAACAGTAGGAGGAACTTTTTTCTCCCCGACCTTGTTATTGCCACGGCTGGGAAGAGGCAGCCCCCACTGGGTGTCCGAGGTCTCGGGGGACTGGATGGCAGTGGGCTCTGACCGTCGATACCGCAAGTTTCTCTTCTTGCCTTTGCCCAGGGCACGACCCTGGGCTGCCAGTGCTCCCCGCAGCTAAGCAGACGGCAGCCCCCACACCGACAGTCGAGCTGTTTGCAAGATTCAGGCTGCAGTAGAATCAGAGATCCGATACCAGGAGGCAAAAGGAGCGGAGGGGAGGAGAAGGAGGAGGGAGGAGGAGGAGGAGGAGGAGGAGGAGAGGTGGGGAAAAAGTCAGGTTGGAGCCTATCCTGAGATGGTTTCTATTTGCTGAAGAGGAGAGCGAGCAGAAATCCGATGGTAGCAAGGGGCGAAATAGTTTGGTGACTGCCAGAGAGCCGGCCAGCAGCGGCTCCCTGCTTCTCGACACTTTGGGGAGTGAAGGCAGCTCTCGCAATTTGCCTGAGCTGATGGAGCTGCCCTCTCTCTCCTCCTTCCCTTCCTCCGCCTTTTGCTCCAGGCTTCTCCCACCTTCCTCCTCTCTATAACAGGCTGCCGGAAGCGACCTGGCCAATGGCAGCACTTTCCCCCCAGGGGTCTGCGAGGAGTCGGAAGGAGATGAAGGCTGAAGCAGAAAGAAAGGGAGCGCTTGGGTGACTGAGTGGAAGGAGGACGGTGGCGGGGGCCTGAGAAAAGGAAGGAGGACCGGAATGCATCGCGGAGCCTGCTGGATGGAGCGAGCTCAGCCCCAGGCTCCCTTCTCGGGTAGATAACCTCGCACTCGCTGCCAGAAGCGACCAGGACATCGCTGGCCCCAGTGCCTGGGTTGTGGGCAAGGAGCGGGCGGCTGGAGATTCCCGAGTGCAACACGCGGCCGCCACGCGGGGGCTTGGCCACGGCAGCGAAAGGATAATGGACGGTTCTTGCCCCATTAATACCTCCCCCCCCGCTCCCCACGAGGGCTGGCAGTGATCGTCTTTGTGATTGGGGCTAGAAGCTATATTGGATCCGACCAGGGGCATTTGCGTGGCGGACCAGGCGACAATGCCTTTGGAGAAGCCAGGATGCACTTAGATTTCTCCTGGTATCTGCTCTGGGTCCAGCTACGGCTTCTGCTGCTACTGCTTTGTAAAGTACCCGGAAGAGTGGAGCGTGAGTTTAAAAGAGCAGGGCCCCCCGGTTCCTGTTCGTTACTGGGGCTCGAATATGCTGTCATTTCCACAAGCGGCAGACCACTTCTCTTCCTATCCCCCACCCCCATCCCTTTTACGAGAGTTAGAACTACCCGCCATTAACCTGTGTATCTTTGAATGCAGTTATTTATGAATGCATATTTATAAGTCATCTCTAAAGGGAATTTGACTCCTACATCTAATTCCCTCTGCTATCCCTTGTCTGCAAAAGGTCAGCCCCTGGAGCCTCCATTCCTCCCAGCTCAGGTCTCCAAAGTGATCGAAGAAGTTCACAGCTGAAGGAGAAGACGATGAAGACCCAGAGAAGGCAGACAAGGAATATTTTTTGAAGTTGAGGGGGATGGGATGGGGCAACTGAAGTCTCCCCAGTACTCCAAAATGTTGAGCCTGAGAGTACAACAATTTTGCGAAACTGCCCTCCCAACAAGTACACAACATTAAAAAAAAAGTCGTTAATGATGTTCTCAATGGTTCATTCTTCTCTTTCTGCCATCCTCCTGCCCGCCTGCCCCCCTTCTTTTCTTCCTGTTTCCCCTTTCTCTTTCCCAGCTGTCACTATAGGTAAAACACTGGGCATGCTCAGTACCCAAGGCAGGGCTGTATGGGGGAGTTGGAAGCTTTCACTGCACAGCAGAGCATGCTACCTGCAGCAGCAGTAGCCTTTAGAAGCCTCTGAACAGCATCAAGTTGAAAAACTCCAATGCTGGATGACTTCAAAACTTGAGGTGTAGTTTGCATGTTTACTAAGCTTCCTAGGGAAGCTTTCATGAGAAAGGGATAAGCTATTTTTAAAGAGTTCCTTCCTGCCTCGTTTCCAGTCTCCGGTGTTCTCTTTCCTTCTGTCTCACCCCACTCTCTTTCTCTGACTCAGTCTGGCTGTTTCCCTCCCTCTCCTTTTCTTCTCCCTCTCTCTCTTCATCTCCCTCTCCTCCTCTCCCTTCCTGTCCCGCCTCATCCCCTCCTATTCTCTCTCTCTCTCTCTCTCCTCTCTCTCTCTCTCTCTCTCTCTCTCTCTCTCTCTCTCTCTCTCTCTCTCTCTCTCTCTCCTCTTCTCTCCTTCCTTCCCCTGTCTCTCTGTCTCTGTCTGTGTGTCTCTTCTGTCTCTCACCATACTTCTCTGTCTTCCTCTCTCCCACTACTCCCTCTCTCCTTGTCTCTCATCCCTCACTGTCTTTCTCCCTTTCTTCTCTCTGCTACTGCTCCAGCTTTTAAAAGTTACAAAATTCTGGGGGTCAATTAACATGATACAAAGAACAGAGCCCAACTGTGAAGTTTTTCTCTCATCTCCAAAAGTCTAATAAAATTGTAGTCTTTAGTTATCACACAAAAAAGTTTGCAATGTACCTCACAAATAATACTAGGCACCTAACTGGACATATTTAGCTAGTGGGATTTTTACTTCAAAGTGACAATGTTGACAATGTAGTTTAAATGACATTGTAATTTATGTAATGTGAATTATGTAAATCTATGTAAATCATGACAAAATAACAGGGACAATGTAATTTCCAGGTATGATTTTTAGTCATTCTTCTATTTCAATATTGTGTATCTGCATTAAAATAAAACAAAACAAAACTGATTTTGCTACTATTATTATATAAATATCAGCCCTCCCCTTTTTTGTCACAAAAAGAGCCAAGGACATTAAAGGTTACAAAAAAAACAGAATGGAAGACAACAGACAAGTATGTATAAACACAGATCAATAACCAGCACTAAGCGTGAAAGAATAATACAATGTTGGTGGTGGTGGTGGTGGTGTTTTTCCCATGACTTAGCTATGCCTCCACCATTAGACCCTGAAGCAAGTGATGGCCATTCTTCCATATTCACCTGTGGTAAATCATTTGACCATTGTCACAGGGGGATATCATACATAAGACAGAGACATGGAACATCCACTAAGTGAGATGGAAATGGGAGGTTACACAGCCAATGCAGAAAAAATGGGCAACGTCAAGAAAATCTCAAATTATTGTTAAAATTTGCCATATGGTTGTTAAATTTCTATTTTTTACTGCTGGAGACAGACTAACTCTACATGCAACAATGTCTCCTGAGTGACAAAAGTCTTCTCTTTTATCAGTGACAGCAGTGACTAGCATTGCAGCAGTTGGTAGATTGATTCCTGCTGGCTCTGGGACGAGGTTAATTCATCTAAGTGGCCTGGTACTCTTCCAGGTTCCCAGGTACTTTTCTAAACTCTCATGAAATTTAAAGTTGTATAGTGAAAAGAGCAGTGGGCATGAGGATTATCTATGGCATTCCTCACATCATTTCAGGTCACCTCACCTCATTTTCAGGCAAGTCATCTCGTTTCTCTGAGTTTCTTTACTAACCTATTTTATCTTAACTCACAGAAGAGTAAGTTGTCTTTAAAATTTAAAGCCCTGTTCAAAATGTGAGCTGTTTGAATTAGGGAATTTCAGAGACAACCTGAGTTGCAGTATTATCTATACAACGATCCTCAACCAAGAGTCCTTACCTATATTTTCCAAGTACCTAGATTGCGGCTTTGCTAACAGATGATAATAAGCCAAAAGAAATCCACAGCTAATGAAAACAATGCAAGATAGTCCCTGGGGGAAAAAAGATCTACAGCGACTCCTTAGATTGCTTCTAGTTCATTTCCTCCTAGGCCTGGAATAGTATTTCCTTTTCTCAGTTGCCCAGGTTAATTCTTTGATTTTTGATTTATAATTATAAGTTTCATATTATCATCCTAGAACACTATGTTTTTAAATTCTGAAGAGTTTTATATTTGTCACAATAAAAATTTGTGAATGAGGGAAACTGAGGCAAAAAGCTCCCAGCATGATCGATTTATTAGCAATTGCCAATAAATGAGGTCAATGACTCCTCAGTAGTCCGAGGCCCAGAACTGAGTTTACAGAGCATTCTTATAGGCACAGAGGAGGCATATCAGAAAAGAAACTGATTGCTTGGGGTATTTTTCAATTTCCCACTGCATCAAGCTATCCTGCATCAAGAACAGGAAACTTCCACAGAAATGGGGGACGTTGACAGGTGAGCAACACTCAGGACATGGAGGTTTTCCAACCCTTTAGTCTGAATGACCTTTAGTCACTATAACAGCTTTGCTTTTAGTAGAAATGAGGACCTTAGCCAGTTAGCTGACCTCTGCTGGAGCTCATCTGTGAAAAAACTGGGGAGATTATCTAACACACAGTCTGGCTGGAGCCAGCATTCTGTCAGCCTGCACACAATCCCATATATACTTCTTAACGTATTAAGATTTATAAGAATTAAAGTATATATGTAATTAAAGAATATAATAAAAAAGATCAATCAAAATCGATTTATATTTTATATAATGTGTTCATGATGATTTGTAGTTCACCTTCTTGTTTGTTTTTTAATACCAGACACTTTAAGTGAAGAATGAGTTTTTAAAACCATCCATCTACAATAAATTAAAAAGAAAATATATTAATATTACTGCCACATCTAAAACTATTCTTCTGAAAAACAATATTATACCTAGTACAATAACTATCACTGTCTAGCATACCCTTCTACTAGCCTCGGTCTGAAATGGTACAAGAAAAGTACTGGAAAAACCTTAATCTTGATTCCTGGCTGTTCTATTGACAATGTGGCCTAAGGCAAGTCCCTTAACTTTTGAGGCCCTCCTTTCCCAATGATAATAATAATAATTATACATACATACATATATATACATATATATATATGTATACACACACACACACACACACACACACACATATATATATATATACACATATATATGTATGCACACACACACATATAATGGATTGTCTAAAAGATGATCTTTTCTAGGTCTAAATATATGGTCCTGAGATATAGTAATGGCATTTCATTCATTTATAATGAAAAAATGAATGAGAGGGACAGTATGGTGTACTAGAGAGAGCCCTAGTCTAGACGTCCAGAAAATGTTAGTATGACTCCTTGCTCTGCTACTTATTAGTTATGTGATGAGTAAGCAATTTAATAATCTTGGACCTCAGTTTCAGTATCTATTTAATGGAGATAATA